GCTGGCAAAAGGGAGTTGCATGAAATGGCCCTGGAAGTGTCTTCCAACTCTAGGAACTTAGCTCAGTACCTTGGAGAGCTCTTTCCAAGTTTACCCATAATTAAAATACAGTCCCCATTAAAGCTAAACCATTGGAGCCATCCCACTCTTGACATGGGCGCTCTGCCCTCCCTGTGGTTGTGTGCAAAGAGCTGCATTTGAAAGCATCTCCATGAGAGATAGGTCCGTCGGAGAGGCAAAGAATCCTTTCGCCATTGTGCAATCGTGACTTTTTAAAAAAGGAAACCTTAAGAAGAGTTGCTCAGAAAGAGAGAATTTGCAAGGCAGGATCGGGATGCGACGAAACCTCAATGGAAATTGCTTTCAGTTCCCTGAACTCAATTTGGTGCCGCACTGTGCCGGGAAATCATGCTACGCCAATTAAGAGCTGGATTGATGTTCTTTTCGCTTCCAATTGAGCACATTGCAAACGCTGCTGAGCACTTGCCGTTCCTTTTTTTTTTAATGGGGGGGGGGGGAGCACCCAAGCGAAACGAACATGCAAATCAGGTGGGTTTATACTATAATTTTAGTATAGAAGAAACTTTTAGTTTAGGAACAACATCTCCTGGAAGATAGACAGAGACATCATTCACAGAGTTTGGAAAATTCTCAATTTTTTGGATTCCAGAAACAAAGGCAGCTAGCTTGCAAAAAGGAACTTTCCCAAACTATATGAATGGCAACATCATGCTAATTTGACTGAGCTGCAGTGCATCTACACAGCAGAATGAATGCAGTTTGGCCCCACATTAACTGCCATGGCTCAGAGCTATCGAAGCACTGGAATTATAGTTTTATAAGGTCTTCAGTCATTTCTGCCAAAGAGTGCTGGTGCCTTGCCAAACTGCAAATCCCAGGATTCCATAGCATTGAGCCATAGTAGTTCAAGTGGTGTCACACTACATTCATTCTGCGATGTAGACTCACACCCTGGGATCCTTTGGTTAGACCACACCTGGAATATTGTGTCCAATTGTGGGCACCACAATTCAAGAGAGATATTGACAAGCTGGAATGTGTCCAGAGGAGGGCGACTAAAATGATCAAGGGTCTGGAGAACAAGCCCTATGAGGAGCGGCTTAAGGAGCTGGGCATGTTTAGCCTGAAGAAGAGAAGGCTGAGAGGAGATATGATAGCCATGTATATGTGAGAGGAAGCCACAGGGAGGAGGGAGCAAGCTTGTTTTCTGCTTCCCTGGAGACTAGGACGCAATGGAACAATGGCTTCAAACTACAAGAGAGGAGATTCCATCTGAACATGAGGAAGAACTTCCTGACTGTGAGAGCCGTTCAGCAGTGGAACTCTCTGCCCCGGAGTGTGGTGGAGGATCCTTCTTTGGAAGCTTTTAAACAGAGGCTGGATGGCCATCTGTCAGGGGTGCTTTGAATGCAATATTCCTGCTTCTTGGCAGAATGAGGTTGGACTGGATGGCCCAGGAGGTCTCTTCCAACTCTTCCAAGTATTCTATGATTCAGAATTATCGAAGCACTGGAATTAGAGTTTTATAAGGTCTTTAGTCATTTCTGCCAAAGAGTGCTGGTGCCTTGCCAAACTGCAAATCCCAGGATTCCATAGCATTGAGCCATGGTAGTTCTAGTGGTGTCAACCTACATTCATTCTGCAATGTAGACTCACACCCTGGGATCCCACTTAATCCAGATCATGCAAAATCAGAGTCCTGGGCATCATTTTCTCCATTCATTTCTCAACTGGCATAAAATCCAGAACCCTCTTTTTGCTCATACTTTTGGGAAATTTGAGATATGCATGCAACAGATGTTCTTTCCTGGGAGGACAGAAAAGGAAAAGCGAGGGCTCCTTGTTCCAGGACATTCTGTTATAGGTTCATATTGTGATTTCTTTGGGAAGAGCAAAGAGGAAAGCACAGGCAGCCCTCATTAGTGGGAATTAGGGGTGCGAGACCTCCGGGAAAGTGGGAGAACGACCAATATCTTAACCTTTTCCTCAAAAAAACAGATTTGACACAGATATGCACACAAAAATTACGGCAGTGTAATTTGCAGATGTTGAAATGTCAGTTATTCTCCTTTGGCCTGTGTGTGCACCCATGGGCTTCTGGTAAAGCAAGCAGAGACCAGAAAAAGCACGGAGTCTAACAATTTTGTTCTAGGTTGTGGCCTTTCTACACTGCATTAAATGCCCAGAAGCTCGGCCTCTCATTGAACATTGAGAACACGGAAATGTTCTTCCAGCAGTCACTAGCCAATCCCTCTCCAATGCCAGAAATACAGCTTAATGGTGTAACATTAGAAAATGTTGACCATTTCCGCTACCTTGGCAACCACCTCTCCACAAAAGTCAACATCGACGCCGAAATATAGCACCGCCTGAGCTCTGCAAGTGCAGCTTTTTTCCAAATGAAGCAGAGAGTGTTTGAGGACCAGGGCATCCATAGGGAGACCAAGGTGCTTGTTTATAAAGCTATTATCCTTCCAACCCTGTGACATGCCTGCGAAACATGGACTGTCTACAGACGTCACATGCAACTCCTGGAACAATTCCATCAGCACTGCCTCCGGAAAATCCAGCAAATCTCTTGGGAAGACAGGGAGACCAATGTCAGCGTTCTGGAAGAAGCAAAGGTGTACCTTGTTCCTGCCTGGGAAATTTCCTTCTTGCAAGGTCACCAGATGTTCCTGGTTGCTTCTTGTCTGGAGTTCTCCTGTGTTTTGAGTTTTGTTTTTTATTTACTGTTATAATTTTAGAGTTTTTGAATACTGGTAGCCAGGTTTTGTTCATTTTCATGGTTTCTTCCTTTCTGTTGAAATTGTCCACATGCTTGTGTATTTCAATGGCTTCTCTGTGTAGTCTGAAGTGGTGGTTGTGAGAGTGGTCCAGCATTTCTGTGTTCTCAAATAATATGCTGTGTCCAGGTTGGTTCATCAGGTGCTCTGCTATGGCTGACTTCTCTGGTTGAAGTAGTCTGCAGTGCCTTTCATGTTCCTTGATTCGTGTTTGGGCAATGCTGCGTTTGGTGGTCCCTATGTAGACTTGTCCACAGCTGCATGGTATACGGTAGACTCCTGCAGAGGTGAGAGGATCCCTCTTGTCCTTTGCTGAATGTAGCATTTGTTGGATTTTCTTGGTGGGTTTGTAGATTGTTTGTATGTTGTTTTTCCTCACCACGCTAAAAGTGGATGTGGCCCTTAATGAGACATGCCACATTATCACGGGGTGTCTGCGCCCTACACCACTGGAGAAATTACACTGTTTAGCCGGTATTGCACCACCTGACATCCGCCAGGAAGTAGCAACCAATAGTGAAAGGACCAAGGCACTGACATCTCCAGCTCATCCCCTGTTTGGATATCAGCCAGCACGTCATCAAGAAATAGTTTTCTAAGATCTACAGAGACACTCGCTGGAACACCCCAGCAAGCGAGAGTCCAAAAGTGGCAGGCTCAAACCCAGAACCTCCACCCATGGCTGATACCAAATGAGAGACTCCCCCCTGGGCACACAGAGGACTGGGCAACTTGGAAGGTGCTGAACAGGCTGCGCTCTGGCCAAAGGACATTTAATCAACTACCAAGTTTGCAAACGGTGTCTTTTGTATGTTTGTTTGTTTGTTCTGTCAAAAATGTAACACAACTGTTTGGTTGCCTGACACAATAAATAAATAAAAAGCTTCCCTATACAATCAGCGGTTCCCTTGATGTATGGCAAGAACCCTTTTCCTCTGGTGGATCTTTGTCTTGACCCTTGTGGCTTCTACTTGGCCTTGCAGCTCTTCTGATGTCTATGGTGGAGTCTCCATTGGCCTGGAGAGCCCAGTTGAGGTGGTTCAGTCCATCTTGGAGGAGGTGGGGTTCGCAGATTCTTTTTGCACGGTCTGCCAAGGCTTTAATGGTGCTTCTTTTTTGACTTGGGTGATGGTTGGAGTTTCTATGTAGATATCTATCCATGTGTATCTATGTAGGTATCTATCCATTGGGTTTTCTGTAAACTGTGTGACCCAATTGTTGATCTGGTTTGTTGATGACATCTAGAAAAGGCATGTTTTCTTCATTTTCCTCTTCCATGGTGAACTGGATGTTTGGATGGATGCTGTTCAGGTGGTCCAGGAACCTGTTGAGTTCTTCTCCATGGCTACAAATTGTGAAGGTGTCATCCGTATATGTGAACCATAGAGTGGGCTTTTTTGTCACTGTTTAGAGGGCTTGTTTTTCAAAGTGTTCCATGTAGAAAGTTGCTATGACCATGCTGAGAGGGCTCCCCATAGCTACTCCATCTTTCTGTTCATATGATTCATTTGTCAGAGTGCGACAGAAGCTTTGAAGCTTAGAAGAAGGGACACTTTGGGACTTCAGTAAAAGCAAATGTATAGCTTTACTGAGTAGAGCAAATATACAGCACACACTCGTGTTGACACCCAACCAAGAAGACAGAAACAAGACAAAAGACACACCAAAGTAAGAAGGATGAACGAAACCTTATCTCTGGATCCTCCCTACATGTTCCAGGCACACTCAGGGTCACAGTTCATTAGAGACTTGACTGATTAACCCTTTCAGTGTCAATACACTCTCTGCTAATGGAAACAGGTTACATTCACAGGCATTGCACAAAATTACATTTAAACATTCCCATTACACTAATCTTACATTCATAGAATTATAGAATCAAAGAGTTGGAAGAGACTTCATGGGCCATCCAGTCCAACCCCCTGCCAAGAAGCAGGAATATTGCATTCAAATCACCCCTGACAGATGGCCATCCAGCCTCTATTTAAAAGCTTTCAAAGAAGGAGCCTCCACCACACTCCGGGGCAGAGAGTTCCACTGCTGAACGGCTCTCACAGTCAGGAAGTTCTTCCTCATGTTCAGATGGAATCAACATCATTGACCCACTGAAAGCAGCTAGTGGTGAGGCAATGGTGAAACAGAGCTGTGATGTCTTCTGGGAACTTCTAACTCTGTCCTTATTTCTTTCTCCAGAGTGGCCCCTCTGGTCCCAGCCCTGCCTCAAACCCTCCTTTGTTGAGACCAGAAGATGAGCTCGAACACCTGACCCAGAAGATGTTATTCGACATGGAGAACCCGCCTTCTGAAGAATACTTCGGTAAGCACTGGCTTTTGGGGGATTTCTATAGCAAAACATTCTGTAGATGGTGGAGCTCCATGCCATGCTTTTTTACAGTTGCCTGTCTATGAAATAAGCCACATTTTGCATCCCTTGCCTGCATCACATACACATTTCCATAAGACTTCTGGTCGTGCATGCCACTAAATTGGGTATTTATTTATTTATCGTGTCAGGAGCAAACCAGACATTGCATTTTTAACAAACAAACAAACAAACAAAACACAAAGTTTGCAAGCTTGGTAGTTGATTAAATGTCCTTTGACCAGTATCTGGCCACTTGGAGTGCCTCTGGTGTTGCCGCAAGAAGGTCCTCCATTGTGCATGTGGCAGGGCTCAGGTTGCATTGCAGCAGGTGGTCAGTGGTTTGCTCTTCTCCACACTCGCATGTCGTGGATTCCACTTTGTAGCCCCTTTTCTGAAGGTTGGCTCTGCATCTCGTGGTGCCAGAGCGCAGTCTGTTCAGCGCCTTCCAAGTCGCCCCGTCTTCTGTCTGTGTGCCCAGGGGGAGTCTCTCATCTGGTATCACCCACGGATTGAGGTTCTGGGTTTGAGCCTGCCACTTTTGGACTCTTGCTTGCCGAGGTGTTCCAGTGAGTGTCTCTGTAGATCGAAGAAAACTATTTCTAGATTTAAGTCATTGACGTGCTGGCTGATACCCAAACAGGGGATGAGCTGGAGATGTCTCTGCCTTGGTCCTTTCACTATTGGCTGCTACTTCCCGGCGGATGTCAGGTGGTGCAATACCGGCTAAGCAGTGTAATTTCTCCAGTGGTGTAGGGCGCAGACACCCTGTGATAATGCGGCATGTCTCATTAAGAGCCACATCCACTGTTTTAGTGTGGTGAGATGTGTTCCACACTGGGCATGCGTGCTCAGCAGCAGAGTAGCATAGCGCAAGGGCAGATGTCTTCACTGTGTCTGGTTGTGATCCCCAGGTTGTGCCAGTCAGCTTTCGTATGATATTGTTTCTAGCACCCACTTTTTGTTTGATGTTCAGGCAGTGCTTCTTGTAGGTCAGAGCACAGTCCAGAGTGACTCCCAGGTATTTGGGTGTGCTGCAAAGCTCCAGTGGGATTCCTTCCCAGGTGATCCTCAGAGCTCGGGATGCTTGTCTGTTCTTAAGGTGAAAGGCACATGTCTGTGTTTTAGATGGGTTGGGGATCGGCGACACATGGAGTGCTGCAGGCCAAAGCCGATGGGATGCCCGAGCTCTGAACTCAGCCTCCGAGGGCCGGAAGGAGGGAGAACATAAGCCAGTATTTGCAGACAGCATGCAAGCACATGGGGTGCTGCAACAGTGTGGGTGTGTGGGTGGGAACAGCATTATAATTGTATCAGGGTAAACTGAGCTTGTCTGTTCTTAAGGTGAAAGGCACATGTCTGTGTTTTAGATGGGTTGGGGATCAGCTGGTTTTCCCTGTAATAGGCAGTAAGAGCACCTAGAGCTTCGGAGAGCTTCTGTTCAACCATCTCAAAGCTCCCTGCTTGAGTGGTGATGGCACGATCATCAGCATAGATGAAACTCTCTGTCCCTTCTGGCAGTGGCTGGTCATTTGTGTAGATGTTGAACATGGATGGAGCAGGCACGCTCCCCTGAGGCAGGCCGTTCTTCTATTTTCGCCGTCTGCTTCTCTGGCCCTGGAACTCAACAAAAAAGCTCCTGTTTTGTAGCAGGTTTCCTATGAGATGGGTAGCCTGGTGTTTGGCCAGAAATCAGTGTTTGTTTTGATATGAAAAAAGGAGAAGCAAAGCAAAGGGTCCAAGTCTGCATTTGCATCAAGGCTTTTCTGCGATTTGATGCCGCTGCCGCAATGGTACCAGTCCAGATAGCCGTCCGCTTAATCATATCATTAGGTCAGATTTAGAAAAGCTGCATCGTGGCTTATTAAAAGTCGGTTGAGAGCAGATAGGTTTTGAATGGAGGGATCTAATTAACCTTGCTGGAGAGCTTCAAGGCATGGCATTAAGTCGCGGAAATAATTTGGTCCAAATAATTACATTTGAAAAGCCAGACTAGCTCCGGAAAGGTCAGGCAATGGGCCTGTTAGCAACCTTTACTCACATGGCAGGAAGCCGCGCTGCCCGAGTCGGGGGGTTCGGTTCCACTCAATTCAACGGCGGGATCGTTTTGTTTTATTTTTAATTGCTTTGATGGGCCACTCTTCTGTTTGAAACATCAGAAGAAGCTAGTCAGTAGAAAAGCTGTATTTAATGCGACAAGACACAGAATCACAGGGTTGGATGAGATCACAAAATTACGTCTGATACAAACTTCCAATGCGTGAAAGTCCACAGTTGAAGCACCCCTGAAAGATGTCCATCCAGCCTCTGTTTAAAGACCTACATAGGATTTATTTATCTATATAAATAAAAATGCAATGTTCGTTTGTGGGACTAACAGAACTCAAAAACCACTGGGGGAATTAACACCAAATTTGGACACAACACACCTAACAACCCAATGTTGTTCTTCACTCAAAAAATGGATAGTGAAACAGTGGACTTGAAGTTAGGATCCTAGAATGGGAAGAGACCCAAGGGCAGGAAAACACAGAGTATAGTGCAGTGGTTCTCAACCTTCCTAATGCCGCGACCCCTTAATACAGTTCCTCATGTTGTGGTGACCCCCAACCATAACCCTAACATTATGAATCGCCATGTAAATAATGATCTGCAGGATGTATTTTCATTTACTGCAGCAAATTTGGCACAAATACCCAGTATGCCCAAATTTGAATACTGGTGAGGTTGGGGGGTGGGTGTTGAGTTTGTCATTTGGGAGTTGTAGTTGCTGGGATTTATAGTTCACCTACAATCAAAGAGCATTCTGAACCCCATCAATGATGGAATTGAACCAAACTTGGCACACAGTTCTCCCATGACCAACAGAAAATACTGGAAGGGTTTGGTGGGCAGTGTCCTTTGGTTTTGGAGTTGTAGTTCCCCTACATCCAGAGATCACTGTGAGACTTAGGCTGAAGAATCATAGAATCAAAGAGTTGGAAGAGACCTCATGGGCCATCCAGTCCAACCCCATTCTGCCAAGAAGCAGGAATGTTGCATTCAAATCACCCTTGACAGATGGCCATCCAGCCTCTGTTTAAAAGCTTCCAAAGAAGGAGCCTCCACCACACTCCGGGGCAGAGAGTTCCACTGCTGAACGGCTCTCACAGTCAGGAAGTTCTTCCTCATGTTCAAATGGAATCTCCTCTCTTGTAGTTTGAAGCCATTGTTCCATTGCGTCCTAGTCTCCAGGGAAGCAGAAAACAAGCTTGCTCCTTCCTCCTCCCTGTGGCTTCCTCTCACATATTTATACATGGCTATCATATCTCCTCTCAGCCTTCTCTTCTTCAGGCTAAACATGCCCAGCTCCTTAAGCCGCTCCTCATAGGGCTTGTTCTCCAGACCCTTGATCATTTTAGTCGCCCTCCTCTGGACACGTTCCAGCTTGTCAATATCTCTCTTGAATTGTGGTGCCCAGAATTGGACACAATATTCCAGGTGTGGTCTAACCAAAGCAGAATAGAGGGGTAGCATTACTTCCTTAGATCTAGACACTAGGCTCCTTTTGATGCAGGCCAAAATCCCATTGGCTTTTTTTGCCGCCACATCACATGATGGCTCTGGACCAAACTTGGTACAAATACTCAGTATGCCAAAATGTGAACACTGGTGGAGTTTGGGGAAATAGAATCTTGACATTTTGGAGTTGTAGTTGCTGGGATTTATAGTTCACCTACAATCACAGAGCATTCCGAACCCCACTAATGATAGAATTGGGCTAAACCTCCCACACAGAACCCCTATGACCACCAGAGTGGGCCACAGCAACGCGTGGCAGGGGATGGCTAGTATAGTTTAGAACCCTCTTCTGTCCCATATGGAAAAGTCTATCACTTTTTCCCACTCTTATTGCCAAGAAGTTCTTCCTCATGTCTCATTGGAAACTCATTTCTGCTGATTGGAATCGATTGATCCGTATCGGAGTGTTGCATCTGTGCTGCAGAATGAATCCAGTTTGATACCACTTGGACCACCATATCTCAATTCTGTGGATAACTGGAAGTTGTTGTTTGGTGAGGCTCGCTTTGGCAGAAAAGGCAAAAGGTACTGGTGGGACCAGTGACAATGGTTTTCCAAATCCAAATAAACTGGCACAATGGTATTGGTAGCCTGCTGGCTGCCATAATAGCAATGTGTTGAATCCAGTCTAGCTTCTAGCCTGATCTCCATGGAGCTTCCATTAGTTTGAACATAACTCTCCAATTGCTTTCCAGTTAGGCTATTATGGCCAACCCTAGAACTCCAGAAGTCACCTTGATTATACGGAGCCTCCAGTGGTCTAATGGGTTAAACCCTTGTGCTGCCAGGACTGCTGACTGAGAGGTCAGAGGTTCATATCTGGGGAGAAGGGGTTGAGCTCCCTCTGTCAGCTCCAGCTCCCCATGTAGGGACATGAGAGAAGCCTCTCACAAGAATGGTAAAACATGAAACATCTGGGCATCCCCTGGCCACATCCTTGCAGACGGCCAATTCTCTCACACCAGAAGTGACTTGTAGTATTTCAAGTTGCTCCTGACATGGGAAAAAAAGGAAACTTGCTCGGTCTATCTGCTGATGTCTTACTCAGGCCCAAGTTCCCTAAGAGAAATAGTTGGACATCTGGAATTGTACATTGATGTACTTTTCACACTACACATTGATGTGCATTCATGTTGGGTGGTGCATTTGGCTGCACCTTTGTGGTATTGATTCAGTCGTGTATGGAATGTTGACATTCCATACAATTATTTATTTATTTATTTATTTATTTATTGGCAGTATTTATATTCTGCTCTTCTCACCCTGCAGGGGATTCAGGACGGATTATAATGTACATATACATGGCAAACATTCAATGCCATAGACACACAACATATATAGACAGACACACAGAGGGTATTTAACATTCCAGCTTTTTCATGAGGGTATTCTGG